GCGCGGGATTAAATGGAACGATCCTCAGCTTGGATTTAACAGCAATTTTCTGGCGAAGCAGAAGCTTTAAAGCTCGCTTCTCAACCGTCGAAAATTACGAACAACGACCATCTATTCCGTAGGTTGAAATGAGAATCGATTAGTAAATACTCAACGCTAATACACGTGATTGGGAAACACATAGAAATTAAGCAACTAGTTGTTTGTTTACGCGCACTCGTATTCGTACTCGAAAAATGAATTAATCCGCGTATAGTAATTTTTCATTTAGATTTAAAATTGAAAATTTCTTATTGAGCAACGAGGCGCAGAATACAAGGAAAGAACCTAAGGCTAAATTATATAGCGGGTCAAAATTATATTATAAAACTTGCAGATATATATAGAATTAAATTACCTAAATATTCGTGTCAAGAGGATTATTTACAATTGAATAATAGCATCCAAATTATGTAATATATAACCAGGTATTGCAAACATGTATTATTACACATATTACATATATAGCGATAATAAATATACAAGATAATGTGTTTCAAACTTATTTCAAAGATATAGACGCAAGTACAAAATTGAGAATATTAATTGTTTCCAAAGAGAATCTTCTTTTTTTTGTCGCATCTGTTCCGTACAATGTAACGACGCTAAAGCGTAGTTTTTGAAATTGTGCTTTCTATTAGAGTAATTGCCATTTTGGAAAAGCGCGCGGGCACTTACGAGTATGGAAAAACGAACAGGGAATGAAATAACTGTTGTAGACGCATGATTACGCTATGAATTAAAGGGAAGTTGTTCGGACTCTAAAACCAAGTTTATTTTATCGAACCACCCGCCTGCAAAACCTCTCAACCAGCATCGTTATCGTTCTCGTATATACAGCGGACGACCGATTTTTCCATAAACTACGTAACAGAATATCACGAGCCAGCTCTTCCGTTTCACAATGAAAGCGTTGGAATCGAAAAAATTTAGGGTTATTATTGAGCTGACGATGAAAAGCACTGGCATCGTTCTAAAACGAGAAATTATATTGAAAAAAAAAATAACAAAGGTAAATTTTTTTTTTTTTCAGTAGCGTCGCTTTGACCAACGCCAATTTTTCCACGACAATTTACCACAAAGTTTAAGGGAACAATTCCAGGATGAAGAGAAACAAATTAACTCCTGCGAGCGATTAGCGATAAAACGTGCGATCCGCGAGAGAACGTAACAAGATCTCACCCGGGAAAAACGATCCCCGTCGTCCCACCCATTGCGTGTCCAAGGCAAACAAGAAAACAATAGGCCAGTGGCACGGTGTAGCAGAGTCAACAGCCCTGTTTCTCATACGCGAACCACTGGAACGTCGTTAGGAGAAATGACACGTTGGACGATAGCCGCCTCGCTGTGTCTCTCCGGATCCATCCGTGTCGCGATCTTCAACGATAAAGTCATCTTACTTAAAAAGAGGTAGAAGCCAGACAATTGTGTCAGGCGGATTGCGAGTTATAGAAGAAATGTGGCTGCTCGGCATACATTTGAATTCGTTTACAGCGTACCCCGTCACGCTCGGATTCACGTGGCTCCTGCGGCTGAAAATCTTCGGGGAGATCTATTTTCTAGCCAACCTCGGCAAACCGTCGCTCCTCTCCTCTCTGCCTCGCCGATGTTTGTTTTTTATCGAGTGGAATTCTTATCGTACCTTCGCGTGCCACTGCCGCGCGCCATGTAAGTATCCGCCTACTCCAATAGGTAAAGTTGGCTCTATATAGAAACGCGGTGCACGTTTTCCCTTCCGCTACTTCCTTACCGTTCTGCTTCCTTCTCCTCTATCTCTTTTTCTCTGCTCGACCGAGAGGATATCTCGACACGACGCGGCGCCACGGAAGGACACGTTTTTCCTCGCCTTGCAGCGTAAACCGAATTTCTTCGGACCACGGAACCAAAACCGATAGCCAACGATTTATCCTTTTTAATGGGGTGGGAGTAGAGTCTAGGGGTTGGTACCGTGTCGTTTTGGCATCGTTGTGGCGCTCTCTCAAAGAAGCGAAAGGGGAATTTGGCGACAGAATTGGAACGAAAAAAAGAATCGGAATCGTGTTGCGATTGCTCGCGTGCCACGGAAGAACAAGCGCGAGTGTAAGAGACAAAGACAAAGGTAAGAAGATAGGAAGACGATAAAGGAAAACGAGATTGCTTCTCTTCGTAAAAGCGATTCGTGAGCAGAGATAACGTATGTAAAATGTAATATAAATATGTAATACGTGTAGGAAGCCGCTGCGATCCTTTGCGATGAAATAGAATATGTTGTGTTGGACGGTGAGGCGTGCTGTTGGTTAAATTAATAGCGAGATGAGTTAATGTCGTTAACTATATTTAGAGATATTTTAAAATGTAGAATGCAAAGTTAATCGCAAGCGTTGCTCGCTCGATGATATCAGTTATAAGATCGCGCGATACTGCGCTACTGATACTAATTGTTATACTTATACGCTCGACTGACGATCTCGATGACTCGATACTCATATTAATTCGCGTGACTGACTATGTCTGGAGAACATGGTCGTCTATTTATACTAGTCAGGAGGGGGGCGGTGGAAGGTTTGAACTTGTCGGTTGCACGTTGTAGCGAAATTGCTTTGTCCATTACATTATGTGCGTCGTATAGTGTCAATCCTCTGTGGCAAAACAACTACGTGAGGCATCTTCAAATCGAAACGTCCTAAGACGCATATGCCGCTACAATGTATTGGGTTGGCAACTAAGTGATTGCGGATTTTGTCAATACCACCTAATGTCATTAGGTCACTTAGTTGCCAACCCAATAGAATGCACGAAATCGTCGGGACGAAATTTGTACGTTGTACCATGTGTTTAATGAGATGAAATAGGTAAAAAGAAGTTAACACAGACTTGTGTCCGAAAATGTTTTATCGAAGAGTCAAGAGCATTCGAACATTTTTTTCAATTGCCCTGGCAGTTGTAATAAACGTTTGAAATTTCTTCGTTCAGCAAAAATACAGGTTTTCATTCGTCCGACTAACGAGTGTCGAAAACTCCTTCGAACGTTGTTGCCGCTGTAGAAACAGCAGTAAATACATTTCTGTCTGTCTGCGATTCTGTATAACGATCCGTAAGAGCAACTTTACCCGGAAATCTTTAAACGCTTGTAACTCTTTCTACAACTTCTAGAACTAAGCATTTTCGCACCTAAGTTTATATGAATTTTCCTTTTCCTATTTGACCCGATTAACTTTTCGCCACCCTATGTAGGAAGAAACTTTTGAAGAAAAAAAAGATAGAGACGCGAACAACATATTTTTCCTTTTGAATTAAAACGTTATCGGTGGTGCCGTGTCTAGATAAATAGATAAAAGCGACGAGAGAGGCAATTGGTTTCACATGGCAGCTTATGAGCTTGCAGTTCGCGAACGTGACTAATCTTTTTCGGCTAGATCGTTTCGTAATGTTTAAACAACGGAAGTTGGCTCGCGTGAGATAGATTGAAACTTCAATAAGTTTCAAGTACCGATGCCGTGGAGAGAAACGAGCCGAAGAACAAACAGCGAGGTAAATGAGAAATCAATGCAGACGGAAGCCGTTCCCTTCCCGGTCAGACAAAGAAAACTGTATACGATTTTCTTTGTTCTCTTTCTTCAGACTTCTTTTCATCTATTTCCTTTCCATTCGTCTTCTTCTTTGTCGTCTGTATATCTCTACACTTTACACGACAGGCAAGCTTCCCTCTTCGTCGCTTCTTGCCAACGCTTATACCGAATCGACCCCACCACGGTATTTCGTTTCCTGTTGCGCCACCGCTATAATCCAACGTAACGATAAAGCTATCGATTAATAATCGGTTGGAAAAGATTCGCAAACTTTTTCTCCGATGTGGATCCTTTGTGCAACGATCAAACGTTCTGTATTAAACCTTTGCACTCGATGGCCTTTCCAGTTGGGCGTAGCAGTAACTCGAGGTGATTTTGCGCGTATGTGACGAGTGTCTTGTAGGTGGTTGATTTTATACAAAAATTAACTTAAAAAAATATTATATTTTAATAGTCTGTATATATTTTTTAATATCTTTTCTACATTTACTTTATGATAATTTATAAAACATCTGCCAAGATGCATCCTGGGCTTGTCTGGACAAGTATCGCAATAATAAGTTGTTTCGTGTCCTTCTCCTGCCTTGTTTCGGTAAGAACACACCTGTTAAAATTATTGCGTTGGCAATTAAGTGATTGCGGATTCTGTCAATACATCCTAATGACAAACAGAATACATGGAGATTTCCATTTAACCGAATTTCATTAAAATTAGCAATGGACGTGGAAGAATATCCCCTCTCAACTGATCTACTAAAATTTGTATAAATCACAGGTGGTTAGGTGGCCTTTCGTTCTTCTGCTTTTTACAGAATATATGAATTAATTAGACAAATTTCCAAATCTATTTTTTAGAGCTTCTAAATTTACGAAACTGTGATACTTGTGCCACGATCGTCGAATCGGAACTAACGTCGTAGACATTGCCAGAACCACATTTTCGGAATAATTTGAGCACAAATATTTCATTTCCATCTTAAAGTGTAACATTTCACACTTCGTAACAAACAGTATAAAGAGTTAAGGAATCTATTTACGAACCAATACTGCGCAAAAATCAATTAAAGAGGACGAAATTTAGCATAAACGGGGACTCTATCGTCTCTTATTCTCCTCTCGAGTTGCTACACGGAACGCCGTGGCGACGAAAAATAGCTTCTCGAGTGCAGAAGGTTAATATATTTGGACATTTGATGCATTCCAATCGAAACATCGATATTTTCACTATATTTCCAAGATTACGATAGAAGAAAGATATATCTCGTAGAATATATACTTGGAGCGTAGGCGAAATGAAAAATGAGCAGATTATGGAAAAGCGAAAATCAAACACGAAATATAAAGCAGAAAAGTTGAAACGGACTTCAGATTAGAAAACGAATACTAAATGTACTTTTGGCTGGTTTCCTTTCCTGTTATACGTTTGTCCTTGTTCGCGTCGTATCGACTAGTGGTAGAAAGAATCTTTTCATCAGGTCAAGGCGGAGTTACTGGCTCGTACCTCGACAAATTCAAAAGTTTCGACTACAAATTCTACTGTCGCGAGGCAAGCGAACAGAATTAACGTTTGAGTTTGCGACAGCGAGCCTCGGTAACCAGGAAACGAGAATAAGTAACGTGGTCGAAATAAGAAGCGAGATCGCGAAAACTCGTCGAGAAAATTTTCATTTTCGCGTACCGTGCAACGACCAACAACTACTTATAAGCTGCCTTTTTTCCGCTCCTCATCACCCATTTTCCTTCTTCGTCCAATCACAGGAAGAAATAACGATTTAACGCGATTCGTGCCGCGGTTTTCTTTCTTCCTTGAAACGCAGATCC